AGTTTTTTTTGAGATGCTATCAATATTGTTTTCGTTTCTAAAGGATACCATTGTGTAGAGAAATGTTTTCTCTATCGAATGAGATATAATTCGAAATATTTTGATGCAAAATAAAGGTAGTATAAAAGGAAAAATATCAGTGTCCGAATAATTTTTTGCGTAGGAAATCACGTGGTTTATGACTAATCCTCCAAAATTTTTTGGAAATCTTTTATAGAAGAAATTTTTTTTGTGAAATAAAGTAGAGACTTCAATCTATCAAATGGTATAATCAAAATCAGAAAAATATTCTTTTTCGTTCATTGTGAAATTTCCTTCACAAGTAATGTATCACAAAGTGTCAGAATAATTATTTTACATACTGTATATCCATGACATTGCTTCCATTTATTTTGTGGCACAGTTTTGCAACAATATTTAATACTCTAGAACTACAACAATGAAGTAATTAATATATTTGAAAAGGATGCTAGTCATATATGGTCTGTGATGATTTACGTAGAGAGATGTCTATCGCGATCTGTGACGAAGAGGAGGAGGTGCAAAATTCTACTCTATATACCACACCGCTTATTTTAGATCGTGTTTCACAAAAGAATAATGGCAATACTGTTGAAGAAATATGCTATAAACGATTTAAAACTACCGTTATCTTGTGGATATAAAGACTTCATCAATAAAAAATTATTGGATATAGATGATATACAAACGTTACTAGCACAAGCTCAAATCTTTGTTAATATTCAATTTTCTTTATCGGACATAAGTGAGACCCAAATATCACTTAATAAAGAAAATGGAATTAATCTTTGGGAATTGTCTCAACAGATCTGTTTTCTTATTACTCATTTTCCCTATTCAACGTTACAGATTTTAGCAGAAATCATCGTCAAATATTTGTTCAAATTATTCGCTATCAATAGTCAGTATCACTCTTTCCTGTCAATAAATGATATTCATGTACAATTACAAATTGTTTCTCCAAAAGATATCGTACTCACGAGCCCATGCGCAAGTTCTGTCAATGTGAAATCCTCTTCTGATGAATCTACGTTAAAACAGGAAAAGAATAGCTGGGGTCACGTGGATATTATAGATGAAATTTCTGAATTAGCCAATAATGGCATTAGTGCCGGATTATATGTACTACATATTAACCCTGGTCATTCCATACCATTACATATTCACAATATAATGACAGAATCAGAAATGGTTTGTCAGTCGTAATCTAATTTGTCAAAAACAGCCCGTTCCGTATGGTTGTGTGCATACGTGGCATTCAGCACCACATGAATATTCAAATAAAAATCGGTTTCAACAATCTATTTTATGTATCGATTCACCTGCTTTCATTCCAACAGATAAAATTTTAGTGGATGGGAAACCAGCAACAAATATCAGGATGACTTTAATGAAAAATTATTTATTTGATGCAAAACCTATATTTTATTTTCCAGGACTCTTTTCATCTCAACAACAAATAATATTAACAACTAATCCTTCATAATTTTACTTAAAATCATCTGCAGTTCTGATTTTTGCATTTAATTTGAATGATGAATTATTGTTTGTAAATCACAAAAAACGAGGATGGGAATTACCAGGTGGTAAAATTGAAGTAAATGAAAATGAAAGACAAGCTTGCATTCGAGAAACATTTGAAGAAAGTTATTGTGAATTAGAGGAAAGTTCTTTGCAGCCTATTGCTCAATATAAAATCATCGATAAAGATAATGTTGATGATGGTCATATTAAATCTGTTTATGCTGCACGAGTTAAATTAGAATATCAAGACTGTCATTTTGATCATGAAACGAAAGACCGAAAATTTGTTTCATCACTCGACTGGTTGACAATTTTAAATGAAAATTGCAGTTTATTATTACACGATGATGTTTACCCAATATGTTTAGAAATTGCTCAACATAAACTAATAATTAGTACAACTAATTAACTCAATGATAGATGACCGCTATCATCATTTAGTTGACTTCATACTTTTTCGGAGGTATTTTCATTCTAAAAAACTCAATCAAATTCTGTCATTGTTATGATATGACTCACTTATATGTATTTGATGTTTCTTTCTTTCCTCTGTTCTGCTATCGTACTGATGACAAATACTACATATGGATATTATGTTCTTTCCTTTCCTTTTGTTCATTTTCAGGTATTTTCCAAAATGTTATCTCCTTTTGACATTGTTAAGCTTTTCTCTTATAGTCTGAGTTTGTAGTAGGACTATATTTCCTATAATTCCTATATTTTTTAAGTTGACCTTATTGTAACATCTCCGTATCATGCATTGTATGCATGATGTTTTTCCTCTTCTTACTATTTCTTCTCATCTTATGTATTGTCCTTATCTTTCTGTCATTACTTCGTACATCATGTTGCACTTCGTCCTTCTCTTCCTTTCTTCTGTCTGATGGACGAGTATATAAGTGTATGCTTTGTATGAAAACGATGCGATTCTTGAGAAGAAGAATATAATAAAGCGTAATTCCACCAGTGCTAACACTTCTTCCATCAGAAATCGTCACACCTATATTGGACTATATTTGAAGCATTTTTCCTATATTCCTATATTTTTCAAAAAATTGAAGGTTCTTTTGAAAAGAGCCGCATGCGCTTTCAAAAAGTGATTTGCGCATTGTGTAAATATGGTTACCAGTTTCCATAGCATAATACACAGCTATTAGGGACATATACAACGATCGTTTCTCATTAGCTAATCGAGATGGTAAAGCTGTTCTATCATATCATTGATTTCATAGTATTAATATTTTTTGTGTTTTCATAGGTTCTCATGTAAGATTGCTAACCATTTTTCTGAAAGTGTAGCTTTAAGGCTACATTCAAAACTCGTTCATATTATTTTTCTATAATTCTAGATTTGACATTGCTGTTTGAAAAATAGAAAAATTTATTTGTTTTGAACTTAGTTTAATTGATATTATTTATTTTTAAATATTAATGCCAAAAAATACCAACTTAAATCTCACCTGGCTCAAAAACACAGATGCTGATAGTGTCAAATTGAATATATACAGGGCATCCCAAAAATCCTGATCACTTAATAAATGCATATAATAGTTTAATGGATCGAGCTTAAGTAGAGATGGGCGCACTACTTTCTATCCCGGTTGAAGAATTAGGTTTATTTTAATAAAAGAAAAAAATAAAAGAACACAACTATTTTATTTTTCAGAGAAATATTTCCACTACAAGCTAAGACTATCGCGGCTTCCATATGGTTTTTGTAGCCTGAGAAAATGAATAAAAACTTTGCGACCAAGACTGGGACTAGTCCCGGTTACGATGTAATCATGTTCTAACTTGAGCACGGATAATCATATTGTAGTCAGAACAGTCTTATTTTGTCAAGGAAATATTTCTTTTCAAAATACGATAGCTGAAGGTTCCTCACTTTTACCTCTTCTGAGATACATGACATCCTGCAACCGGGACCAGAATGTCCCGGTACCCATCTATAAATTTAATCCGATAATTTCTTTTTTATAGGAGAGAAGCGAGTTCTGAATTTTTACACCTAAACACAAGGGTTATAAATACTCTTTAAAGGTTATCACTGTTGACTTCAGTAGTAAAGTGTAACATTTTTGACCTGCCAAAAAATGTATGAAGTAGATTTCCTATATTTAATTTAATTTTTATCGTTATCACGAACTTTAATCCATTCCATCGCGTACTATTGCGTTATTGGCATTTGTTTTGATATTTTCTTAAGAAAAGAATACAACCGTGCTACGTCTAATAGCAATAAGAACCACGAAATCGTTCAATACTTTTATTCCACTAATCATCAAAGTTTTCGTTATGTTACGAAAAAGATTCTTTTTAAAAAGTATTAGTTAATCGTGTCAAAAAAAAACAAATAAATGGTTAGAGAAAAGAAGTAAGGGATAGTAATGATTTAGGATCCATAGCAACGATACAAATTGAATTAAGTATGGAAAATTTATTGCATACATTTTTTGGCAGGCTAAACACGCTACACCTTACTATTGAAGCCAACGATGATGACCTTTCAAGAGTATTTACAAGCCTTGTGTTTAGAAGGAAAAATTTAGAACTCGCCTCTCTCCTATAAAAAGAAATTATTGGGTTAAGCTCGATCCATAAAAGAATTATATGCATTTATTAAGTGATCAGAACTTTTGGAACACCATGTAGCTAAGAGTAGGTAAAAAAATATCAACGTTTCCATGTAGTTTATGTAAAAACAGATGATCTCGATTGTTCAAATCAAGGTTGGCATGCTATTTAACAGCGTATGAGAACAGAAAGTCATTTAGAAAAGATAAAACTATTAAAAAATAATTCAACATTTTCTATTGAATCTTCAATAGCATAAACACCATCAACCGATGATGTTATTGCAACACCACATTTACGATTAGGTAGTATAAAAAGACCGATAATATTAGATTTTCAAGG